AGAAGGTTTCGTCATAGGTTTCGTCAGGTTTCGCCATTCGTCACAGGTTTCGTCATTCGCCACAGACATTTTCAAAACGGTCGTGACGAAAGGTTTCGTCAAATTGACGTGACGAAATGTTTCGTCATCGTCAAGTATCATTAATCAAGTATCAGAGTTAGAGCTAAGAATAAGCTTATGAAATTGTCTTCCCGACATTTTTTGATAGTGCGCCAAGCTATCTGTTTTTTGTATTTTCGCATTTTTTGTTTTTTCTCATTTTCTTGTGCCGGATTTGTTTTGCCGAGTTGATCAAAAATTCGCTATATTCCTATTGGTTGCGTTGCGTAGAATTTTATTAGTTGGATAGGATCAATATCACGTGATACTAACTTTTTTGCCGTGGCAAGGATACTAGGATCGTTTTCATTGAAATAAGCTATTCCAAACTATCTTAAGGAATTGGAATTTTATGAATAGTTAGAATTTGTGGTTAATTTGTCGATATACTCAGGGTTTTATTTTTAAGCACACGCCATACAAGCATCACACTCATGGTTAAAAGGCGAAAACTTTACTACATGTAATTCATCAACGTCACGATATCACATGATAAAGCAGTGCTAATATTTTAGGATAAGTACATGACAGTTAAAACAGAAAAATAATAATAACCCGCTTCTAATCTATTTACTAGGATTGTTCTCCTTTTATTCATACGTCATGTTTGAAAACAACATTTACATTGCCAAGGATGGATAACTTCGCAACATGAAGAATAAGTTTAGCATCCGCATGTACTTCAATACCGTTTCTATGATAAGTGTAAGTGACTTTACCCTTGGCTCCGCTTTTCAATTGTGTAAGTATAAGAAACTTTTGATTCTTGGAAGTAACCTTCTGTGGCTCGAGTTTGAAAGGAGGATCGATATTACTTGATTCGAAAGATACGGTTACTCCATTAGGTATATCGACTGTTTCGAGATAAATCAAAGCATCATGCGTAGCCCAATCTGGGTGAATTTGTAAGTCTGTCGTCGTAGTGTAGGTTGGTAACGAAGGATTCACAAATTCTATATTTCGCCAGCCTATTCCGGGTGAGTTTTTGAGCCAGTTATTGAAGTCATCAATATTTTTAAATGGTGTCATATGCCTATCATTAGGATGTTCCTTTGTAACAATACGTGATACAAGGCAGCAATGTTGATTCCCTACCGGATGGTCCCAAACAAATGGTGTACTTAATACTATCTTTCCGTAAGCAGGTGCATTGAATTTAATGCGCGTATTGCCTTTCTCATCTTTTAATTGATTCTTTGACCAATCGTTTGGATGCAAAATTAATGTTTTCGGTACGAAGTAAAGCTCGACATACCCTTCTGATGGTAAGACTGAGGCACCTCGGATATAAATATAATTTCGTACGGTTTCTGTGATTTTGGTTCCTTTATCAACATTGAATTGAATCCCATCTCCGCCGCCAATAAAATGTTCGTGCGGATTAGTAATAGGCTTGGTACCGGCAGGTTGAATATCGGGCGATTGAGTTAAAGTGCCCTGTCTAATGATCTCTGGATTCTCACCAATGTGTGATCTGGCGAAGAAGTCACCATATATATTACTCATAATTGTGAAAATTGTCGTTTATGAACAATGAGAACTAATGTTGTGAAAAATGCGAACCTTTATATACTTTATTTTGATACTAACACTGTAGGAATGTAAGATAAATGTAATTAATTATTTTACAAATACATCTGAATACGAAGCATGCAGTACAATTGGACATGTTATTGTATAATAAAAAATTATGTCGCATGATTGCTTCAGACGATCATTGCGTCGTCTTGAGTTACACTGTAGCGGTAGATTTCATTGTAAAATGAATCAGTGCTTCCACATAAATTGGAAGTTCAATGAATTGATAAATCTAAGTTGATAGCAAACCGGCTTTGATTCCTGTAGATTTCATTGTAAAATGAAATCAGAAATTTGTGCATTCACATAAATGTAAGTTCAATGACACATAAATGGAAGTTCAATGAATAAGAAGTGTGCATTTGGCATGCATATGCGTGTGAGTTTAGTCAAAGAAAGTCATGCTTTCATAGAACGTCCATTTGCATGAAAAACGTCACTATCGCTATGGCTCGAATTTAAAGTCGTCGCTCAACTATGAAATATACTATATTTAAATAAAATATTATCACTATTGTCTGATTCTTCTGACATATTTAGTAGGGCATTCGTTGTTTTACGATCTTTGAAATAAATTTTGTTAAAAAAAAACGAAAAAAGAACTTACGATAGTTGAGTTTTGAGATTTCAGCTATGCATTTTTTATTTTAGGTATCTTTTCCATCATTCTCAATATCAATATCGAACTTCTGAAACAAATGCTGACATTATAAAATAAAGCAAATAAGACATAAGCGAAAATTATAATCAATTAACAACTACGTATTACAGTGTACAGTCGTTGCATAGCTTCGTTTGAATAGTACAAACTGACACTGTAGATTTGGTATCAATTTTAGAGTTGTATGCAAACAAGTATTTTAATGTATTAAATACAAACTATAAAAGAAAGGTAATAATTAATTAATTAATTACCTTTCATTTTAGAACATCAAAGCTGACATTTATAGAGCCTAAATAATCTGCATCATATGGGATTAAAGATTCAACAGCTCTTTGTTTATATTTGCATGAATGCTTTTTGTAATAGCATTTTCTCATCAAATTCTTTTCTTTATAATAAATTTACATCATATCATCTAAGAACATTATTTGTTATTTTATGTAAATAACCATTCCAAAGCTACAACTTGTGTGTATGGCTTCCTATTTCTTTGGACTAATATAAAGAATACTCCGTAAACTTCTTGAAACCTACAAGCAATGAGATTCTTAATCACATAACGATAACGATAATAATTCTTCGTATGTCTCTACGATTTAAATTTATTCTCTCCGTAATTTGGCAACAACGCTCTATAAATTTATCCAATATTGGAATAATGTTCTAGTCAAAACATCCACTGCAGTATTGATTTTTTGACAATGAGTATAGCTCTGTAGTTGCAATAAAAATCGTTATAAACAAATACTTTTAGTATGGCCGGAAATTTTTCAAAGTTCGTAATAACCAAATCACATAAGGGGATCGTTATATAGAGCTTTGGCTGTATTTAAAATTTTAAAATACATCTTAGAGTCTACTTTATGATTATGTGCAGTATTTTATTTAAAACTTTGAAATGATGGATAAATAAACGATAACGATGTGGAAGTTGATTTCTGCGTTAACGTTAAGCACACGACATGTAAAATCGTGAATGAATTAAATATCGATATGCATTTAACGTTAACGTTAAAAAGGAGTCTTTACTATTATCGTTATAGGTGTGTGTAAATCAATTCTTTTATTGTGGAATGCCATAAAAAACATAGTACTAGCGATAATAAAATGCTCTTCCTTTAACACGACGATTTAAAAAATGATAGTTTATTTTTACAGAAGAAAGCATTTATTATTTAACCTTTATTTGCGTGTAGAGCTTGTGTGTGCATGTGTCAATTTTGCGTTTACGTATTTGTATTAAAGAAGAGTCTTTGATTATTCCAATAAGTTTTGATGACAATACATAGAATATTAATAAACATAGCAAGTAAACGGTGACAATTTCGCAAACAATGAAAATTAAGATAAAGTATGTAAATTTTAGAATCAAGAACAATGACATTATCGTATTCTTGTTATGCAAAATCCTTAGAAAGAATAACTTTTATTCATATATTAATAAAATAACTAAATTATGATAATAAAATTATATTTGTAACCATAAAAAAGTCAATAGACAATAGAAACCGTTTTTAGTTATGCTTGTTAAAAAACAGTTAATATATTACTCAAATGCTTTTTAATGCTAAAAAAATCAAAAGATATAATTCTTTTCTATAACACATATCAATATATAAATTAATCCTTACCTGTTTCATCTTATAACGAGTATGATATTTGAAGTGTTTCATAATGAAGCTATAGTTGTTCTTGAAAGAAACTTGAAATATCTCCCCTATAAGAAAAATCGGTATGGAATAACCTGTAAATGGCATGTAAAATAGCATGCAAATAAGCTGCAAATAAGCTG